GCCAATCCAAACGATACTTTTGGCATCTTTTCTGTCTCCATAATCTCCTTGCCATGCACTTAAGCAGTTTTTCCAGGTATAGTGCATACAATCGATGCTTCCAATCATGCTAGGAAAACCTTGCATCTCATCATTCTTTAGAAGCCTTTGTAGGTCCATTGTTGTGGGTTTCGGGAGGTACTCTTTGGTGTAGATGGCTTCGATTGCAAAGCAAAACCTCATCATCGACTTAAGAATGGTTGATTCCTTATCCATGCTATCTCATCCACTTGGTCTGCAAATGCTTCATATGTAAGCATCCGCAAGGTAACAATAATTTTTCGCTCAGGAAGGAGATCCATGACACTAAAAGCATGATAAGCATCCCTCTTTTGCACAAAGTAATAATCATGGTTGCAAACATCAATCATGAATTTGTTGAACAAATGTTGTTGTATTCCAAAACGATGTTACACATCAAGGAATGCACTGTTATGACCAAAATAATTGTCCAATAGATTCTTACCTTGTCATTGCCTACTTCTATTAATGTTTGCAGAATGCCTAGGCCTAGAGATCTCAGCCTTGGATGACTCGACGAGAATGTGAGGCTCTCTCGCTCCTTGCTTCGTCATCTCTCCTTCTACGTTCCTCATCCTCATCCTCTTCCATCTCATTTTCTCTCTCCTAGAGATTGAACATTTCTTCCTCTTGTTTAAACAATTTTTTCTCTTACTCATTGATTTCCTACAAATCCTTGAAGAAGATATTGTAAGAACTCATGATTTATAAACTATGAAGAAGGATAGAGATTTTGAGAGATTTTGATTTTGGTGTGTGATGGTGGGTTATATTTCACCCGAAGTTACGGGGCTATTTTGCCGAGTTCCTTAGAGAGAGTTGTCTCGCGCCCCTAGGTATTCTCTACCTACCCACCTGTGTCGGTTTCGGGTACAGGTACCCTTTTGTTGAAGGTCGTTCGAGCTTTTCCTGGGAGTATGGCATGGGTTACTTCAGCGCCGTGGCGCCTGGTACTCGAACATTGGCTCGAGGCATTTTCTCTACCCCTTCTTACCCTGAAAAATCAGGGGCACCCCGCGTCCTTGAACCGATAACCATCTTTCGGCTAACCTAGCCTCCTATGAATCATTAATTTTTCTTTCGTGCAGTTTTTCCATTATTCATATTATTCCGTATTTTAAAAAACATAAAAACCATGTAAGCGCAATAACCGCGCCAAGTGCTATTTTTTCTCAAGGTCTTGCTACTTCGGGTCTTTTAACTGAAATGTACCAATCCGCGATATCAGTACCCGCTCTCCAATCCCATTAGTTAATGATGCACGTAAGTATGAACGATACTTCTTTATCTTTTGAGTTGTTCTGCTAGATCGATCGCTCAAGACCTTTGGTCTCTACCCCGACCCGATGAAAAAAATGGGATCACTTCTTATGGACTCGTTGAGAATGATTCTGATCTAGTTCATGGCCTAATAGAAGCAGAATGCGCTCCGGTGGGATCCTCACGGACAAAAAAAGATTGCAGTCAGTTTGATAATGATCGAGTGACATTGCTTCTTCGGCCCGAACCAAGGAATCCCTTAGATATGATGTAAAATGGATCTTGTTCTATCGTTGATCAGAGATTTCTCTATGAACAATACGAATCGGAGTTTGAAGAAGGGGAAGGAGTCATCGACCCGCAACGGATAGAGGAAGATTTATTCAATCACATAGTTTGGGCTCCTAGAATATGGCGCCCTTGGGGCTTTTTATTTGATTGTATTGAAAGGCCCAATGAATTGGGATTTCCCTATTGGGTCAGGTCATTTCGGGGCAAGTGGATCATTTATGATGAAGTGGTAAAAAAGAAAGGATTAGGTTGTAGATAATGCCACGTGGGACGCCGTGATTTGTAAAAAATATTATCAAAATCTATCCTCAAAGATTCTAAATAGACAGTGATAAATGGTGCAACAGGATTGGTTAAAAATCTTATCAGAAATGTATACTCAACGATTCTAAAACGACATGTGGCGCAACATAATTAGATAGAAATCTTATCGAAATCTATAAAAAATGTACTTTCGAATAATGACATGTGGCGTGACGAGATTGGTTAAAAATCCTATCCGAAATTAAAAATATATTATTTTTTATAATAAAAAATACTAATATTTTAATACAAATTGCCTAGGCTATTCAGTATAGAGGTGGAAATGCAATAACAATTATAGTTCATTAAAGACAATTAATATTCACTTAAGGGGATTGAATTGCCTATTGCCATGGGGAGCCTTTACTTACTAAAACTGCTTTAAGGATACTAGAGGGGCTAACTTGGCTAGGATTATCAATTATGATGAGGTTCAATATGTCGTAAGGCCAATAAAGAAGAACAATGCATCGATAGAGTTGAGAAGGCTCCAATGAAGAAGAATCATTTCAAGGATCTTAAAACATTTTTCTCAACTTGAACCCACACATGAAGATAGCAAAGGGATGTGGCTTTTGGTTATGGAATAAAGTATGGAGGTTGCACAGCCTTTTAAGGGAAACAAGGTTAGCTATTGAAAGGTTGTGGGTCATCCCTATCTCACTTGATCTTTCTCGACAAGAGTAAATGTGGATGTGGAAATTTTGTTGGTTACATATCCTAATCATCGAAGGTTTAAAGTGGAGATTGGGTTGGCAGTCTAAGGCATGAAAGAAGCAAGAAGGCTCTATGTCGAAGCTTAGAACTAAGAAGGAATGACTCGGAAAAATAGAACCAAGTGTGAGCTATTTAAAGAGAAGTTGTTAAGAAATCTCATAGCCGAATTTGAGAAGTCTCGTCTGGAGATTTGTGTGTTCGAGAGTTAAAGTCACTCGGTGATGCAAAAAGCCGCCCCTTCTTAAATGTGCACAAACAACATGACATTCCTCATCATTGCTGCCTACACGCCACAATTCTCGAAACCACACATCTAAATCTCGAAACTGCACATTTGACTTACTCCAAAAGGCATGGTCTTTGGATAACTATCACTCTTCAAGGGGAATAAGTCTTTTCAGATACATAGTTAAGGGCAATTGTAAACCACAATTTTTCTGGGTTAGAGTAAGGCATATCGAAGTACTAATACTTCAGAAATCTAGTCATGGACTCAATAGCCTCCACTACAGAGCTGAATAAACAGAGCAACGATGCCACCAGCAACGGTAGCCTCCACTACAGAGCTCAAATTCCAATTTATCTTCATCCAACCTAATTCCATTTCAGTTTACCAAAACTAATTCTTAATTGGCTATCAGCCTATCCCATTCCCTTCCCCATCCCATCCTAACCCACCCCAGCTAACCAAAGGTCGCCACCACCAACATTGGAGCACCAGTTTGCCAGACTCCTTCCCTCTCCACCTGGGAGTATGATTCTCTCTCCTCCTATTTTCATCCCCTTCCCTCCCCTTCTCTCACATATTATTTTTTGTCTTATTGTCTCTATAAAAAAATCAATATAAGATGTTGACGTGATTAAACTGTAACCGTTCAAATAAGAAGGGAGATAATCCTCTTCCCTTCACCAGTTTAGATCTTTCATATTTGGGTAAACCGACACTTAACATTTTGTTTTTTTTTTCTTACTTTTAATTAAAAAAATCTCTTAAAGTAAGCCCCAAAATTAATAATTTACGTACTATTTGCACATTTACTTATTTGTAATATATTTCAACATTTATAATATTTTTCAAATAGGTGAATTCTTGCCGCTCCCAAATTAGGATTATTTGAGCTATTACGTTTTCGAATTTATCCGCTCTCAAATCCTCGCCCCACTCCTTTATTCGTGCCTCGCACGTGAGGGCTATTAGAATTGAATTTAAAAATACATAAACATTCATTAATTGTGGTTAAAAGTCAATATAATTTTCCCGTTTGGGGCCATATTGAATGGGAAGAATCGTCACACAAGGTGGTACATCATATGTATTTATATAAATGGTAGGATATATATGTTAAACGGTTAATAATTTAAAATTTAAAATTTTTCACCATTTATATAAAAACACGTAATGTATTATTCATGTTCGTATCACAACTAAAAATTTCTCATATTGAATGATGTTATTAAAGGAGTAGGATTCTCTCCTCTCTTTTTTTCCCTCATCTTCCCTCCCTTCTTATTTGAACTTGAACAGTCACCGTTAAACCACGTCAACATCTTATATTAATTTTTTATAAAAAAAAAGATAAAATAAAAAGTATTAAACGTGGCCATTTCAACCAAATTCCAAGGCCAAAGATAAGTCACCACGTCACCAAAATTAAATTCCTTCCTGGAAGCTATCGCACGACTCACTCGAGAGAAAACACCGACCAGAAAAAACCCTCGTCTTTCTCTCTCAACAAATCTCACTCTATAAAACCGTAAATTTCCAATAAATTAACATAATTAGTTATATACATTTCCAAACGAAACGAATCTCTCTGGCAATTCCAGAAACCCTTAATTTCCACCTCCCAGGAAATGTCGCCGGCGGCAGTTGATGTCCGGCCTCCGGTCATCTCTCCGCCGCCCAAACCCAAACCCTCATCTGCTCCTCAAAATTCTGCTCCTGCGTCCGACATGCCTTCCTCTTCTACTTTCAATCTCGGTGCTTCAGACGGCAATGGGAGTAAGTGTCAGTTCGGTTCGAGTGTGCCGTCGCGATCGACTAGGTCGCGGCCGAGGTTGGTGAAGCTGAGGAAGCAGCATTCGAGGTCCAGAACTGGGTCGGCCGAGAGCGGGCCGGGGGTCAACCCGTTTTGCTCGGTAAGTGATGGTACTAGTGCTTCTAATGGGTTTAATTTTTCGACTGGCGATTGTAGGGGTGTGGGTTTTGTGTTTGGTGCTAAGAGTGGGGTTGAGAATTTGGATAATGGGGATGGAGAGAGTGATGGAATAGTGAGAAATGTGGATAATGCGGAAAGAGGAAGTGATGGGGTAGCGGGAACTTCGAGTTGTGGTGATAATTTGGATAAGGGTGAAGGAGTGAAAACTTTGAATTGTGATGAGAGGCGGCAGATGGATGTCGGAAATGGAAGAGAGTTTGATAAGGTTGAGAGTGATAGTTTTGAGTGCGGTGCAAAGAACGATGATCTGGGATCGCTTTTGTGCGGTGAGAAGAGGGAATTTTATGAAAATGTGAGAGGAAAGATTTCTGAAGATAAGTGGAATGCAAAAACAGATACTGAAACAGAATGTCAGAAGGTTGATAACATGGGTTTTGCTTTTGATTCTAATAGCAGTGATTTGGGTATGCATTTGAATTTGGATTCAAATCCAGAAATGCAAGAGTATGATGGAAATGTGGAGAAACCGAGCATGGATAATAGGGGGGGAATGAAATTAGAGAGTGAAGTAGAGTACAATGTGGGCTCTGCTCCTTTCGTGTTTTGTTCTAGTTTGATTTCGAATTTAAATTCAAATATGGAAAAGCAAAAACCTAGTGGAAATCTGGACAAGTTGGCTTCTGATGTTGGCAGAAAGCTGAATGTAGAGAGTGAAACAGACTTAGAGAAGGTGGAAGCTGATCCTTTTGAATTTCATGCTGAGAAGAGTTGCATCTTAAATAAGGATCAAGAGAATGCCTTTTTTGTATTTAGAAGCAGCAGTTATACTGAATGCATGGAACCCAAGTGTCAAGATACAATGAAACTGAGTAGTGAAAATTTAGGAGGTTTCAAGACAAATTCGGACAGTAGTCCTTTCTGTCAGTGTTCGGGAGGTCCTTATGTTGCCTCTGAGAGAACTAATGAAGATAATCATGAAAATAGTGGCCCGAACCATTTCTTATTTGGAAGTGATGGTAACACGGAGGGTGCCACAACAGGAATTTCTAGTTCCAAAAATTTTAAATCTGCAGGAAGTGCTGAGAGTGATGAGGCAGGTCAATTCACCAAATGTCAAGTCAATCATAATACACTCCCGAATATAGATGCAGCAGCAGCAACATGTTCATTTTCATCAGTTGGTCTTGGCTTCCAACCCAACGGTTGTGCTTCTGAAGCAGCTTCTGTGGATGGCGTAAAAAAGAAAGACGACTTGACTTTTACTGGCACTACAGAAGGATTTGGAGTGTGCTTTGAAGACTTTAAGAGGTCATTTTGTGATCCTTCCTGTCTCAGAGAAAATTTATTTCCTGAATTAAATAAAACTTCAAAATGTGGTGCGAAGGGTAGGTCCTTTAGGGACAAAAGATCAAGGAAACAAAGGGGAAAGTCAAAGAAACCTTCCATGAGTAAGCCATGGCCCGGACAAGATCATGTGCCTAAGGAAAGTGGTTCCCAAGAAAACCCAGAACCTTCTGGATGCTACTCGCCCATGGATTTCTCTCCCTATGAGGAAACAAGAGTTGCTGATCCACATTCAAGGGGACATTCTGTGACATCTGCTGACCCCTGTGAAACAGTTCCTGTAGATCCCAAAGGTGAAGGTTTGGCTGCTACTGCAAGTGGATTAGGTTATACAGTTGATCAGATATGTAAAGAGCCCATTGAGAAGAATTCGACGTATCATGGTGAGGGAGGTTTTTTTTGTGATGGTTTGTGGAAAGGTTCTGATTCAGAAACAGCTAGAGCTGGTATTGGATTAACTATAGAGAAACAAGAAAGTGATTGTAGATCACCATTTTTTGCTTCGGGTTCTGAAAAAGATAAATGCTTTACGTTTTTGGCATCATCTTCTGTGCAAGGTAGTTCAGTGATGGGTAAGCGCCAACAACGTAGAAAGAAAAACAAGATAAAAGTTGGTCATGCAACATTTGTTATTACTCCTAGTTCAAATGTTGAGTTTGGATCTTCTGGCCTATTTACCCCTCACTCTAGCATGCCTTTATGTACGGAGGTAGTTGGTAAATCAGAAGCAAAAGAACAATTTAAGCAAGTGCATGTCTCTTCTAGTGTTGCTATTCATGAAACCTGTGAGAAATGGCGGATCAGGTGCTCTTTGCATTATAATTTAACAGCTAGTTTCTTTTTTTTTTAAACAAATTATCTTTCATGTGGTTTCTTGGATCCTTGGTTGTTTTACTGTGATTATTATTAGTTATATGTGTTGTTGGAGATGATTCATGTGCTTCTCTCATGTGTAAGGTTTTGGTTTCTGTCAGGGGAAATGAAGCTTATAAAAATGGAGATCATTCAAAAGCTGAAGAATTTTACACACAGGGAATAATTTCTATACCTTCTAATGAAAGAGCAGGATTCTCTCTGAAGCCTCTTTTGCTATGCTATAGCAACCGTGCTGCAACGAGAATGTGCCTTGGAAGGATAAGGGAAGCTTTAGGGGACTGTGTGATGGCTACTGCACTAGATCCCAACTTTCTCAAAGCTCAAATGAGAGCTGCAAAGTAAGTATTCCATTTGTAAGCTTATGAATATGAGTTCATATTTTACTCTTGATTTTGTTGATTTATGTTTTCCCAAATGTTTTCAAAGATTGGTCTGCTTTTATGAACTTGCATTGTGTTAAACTTACTGCAAGCCTAGCTCATAAATTTACTGATGAGTTGAGATTACATTGAGCTCTTCCCAACTTAAGTGGGTTGTTCCCAGGTTTAAAACGCGACTTAAGTGTCTCTGGTTGAGCTCAGTTAGCCTTTCATCCTTGTTGAATTTCTATTCTGTTCGTCTTTTTTTCTTTTCTTTTTTTTTTCCAGGTGATCTGATTTTTTTTTTTTTTTTTTTTTTTGCAAGCCATATGTAGATATGGATTATGGCTTGCCTACCCTTCACTTAATATATATTGTCCCAAGGTTATAGTTACATTGGTAAAAAATAAGCCATATATGCGTATTTCAATGTATATAGTGCTGTGTTATTTTACTCTTGAAATGCATGGCAACTTTAATATGTTATATAATCTGAATATGCTTGCTATTTTTGGTATTAGTTACATTGTTTGCTAATTTTTTTCATATATGTGTATTTCAATGTATATAGTGCTGCATTATTAGTGTGCTTTTGCTCTTGAAATGCATTGCTACTTTAATGTGTTGTATGGTCTGAATATGCTTCCTATTTTTGGTATTAGTTGCCATCTTCTGCTCGGTGAAGTCGAAAATGCAAAGCAGTACTTCAGTAAGTGTTCCGAATCAGTAAATGGTGTCTGTTTGGACCGAAGAATTGTAATAAATTCTGCTGATGGCCTACAAAAGATTCAGGTACTGCATTTGTTTTGTGTCATAATGTTACATTGCTGTTTATGTAGTTTTATATCTTTTAGTATTATATTGATCGTATCCTTTGTATCTACTTTAACGAATATCATGCATTCGCATGCATAGGAAGTCTTATGATTCTCAAGCATTTGTTATAAACAAAACAATGTGACAGCAAGTTATGTGGTTTCCTTCAATGCAGAAAGTGATTGAGTATACAAATCGTTCTATCAAGCTGCTGGACCAGAGAAATACTGATGCAGCTCTCACCGCATTAGAGCTAATTTCTGAGGCCTTGTCAGTTAGCTCATGCTCAGAGACATTACTTGAAATGAAAGCAGAGGCTTTGTGTTTGGTATGTGCTTAGTGCCATATTACTGCATGTATTTTAGTTAGTTTCTTTTACTAAATCAGTTAGAGTTGCGGTGGTTGGTGCTTGTGTACATTATATATTTGTCCCCTTCTGTTACCACTATTTTGGCGTTTTCCCCCAATAGTGGTGGTTACCTTCTCTCAAACCCAAGTTTTGGTCTGAGTCTATATATCTTGTGGCATTTTGCAGTTGCGGAGGTATGAAGAGGCAATTCGTCTGTGTGAGCAGAGTATGGTTTTTGCTGAAAGGAATTTTTCTGGATGTGAAATTTATCAAGTTAAGTTATGGAGGTGGTTCTTCATATCCAAGTCTCACTTTCATTTGGGAAGGCTTGAGGCAGCCCTTGATTTACTTGAGAAGCTAGAGAAAGTGGGATCTACCAAAGAGATGTAATACACAAGTTTCCATGTAGCTTAACTTTTGAAATTTCCAGATTTTTCAGGGCATTCCTTTTACTAAAATTTAAGTTACTGAATGTAACTTTAATTATGTAGGTATGCAAGTAAGAAACTGGAATCATCCGTGTCATTGGCTGTCACAATACGTGAACTATTACACCACAAGGTATGCAGTCTTGCTTTAATTTATTTTCTCATTTGGATGGAGGATTGGTAGACAACTGATAGATGCTATCTATGGTTTGTGCTTAACTTATCATGTATAGTATGTGTTGAGTCAATTATGAAATACACATTTAACATCTCTTGAATGTTTTTTTCTTTTTTAATTTGTTTAAGCAGAAATGAAATATTGGTAGTGATTATGTATAGTATGAGTAGTCTCAATGTGAAACATGCAATTTTAGCATATTCTGAATGGTGTAAAACAGAAGATTGATATCAAACCTTCATTAGGATAAATTCCATTCACAACACACACACACACGGGATGGATCCATGGCACTACATTTTAGACACAACTTCAGCCACAAATTTTCTACCATTTGATTGAGGTAAGAGAAAAGATAGACAGTTGATCGTTGAAGTACATTACATAGTGCGCCCCACAAAAATGTGTGTCAAAATTGTGTGCCTCGGATCCTAACCCATATATGTATTTAGCAACTCTCACTTGATAGTTTATATTTGTATTAGTCCAAGTTGATCAACAATGACAAGAGTTCCTCATTCTGGAAGACGAAAATTATAAATATTAGGGTCACTAGGGAGACTTACCTGAAAGGACATGGCAGAAAAATTTTCTGGTTATTCGATATTCTCTAAATACTGGAAATGTGAATATAGTAAACTAAGTTAAGTCTTTTCCAGTAATGATCGAAGTTTGGTATGAATTTAATATATCATTGCAGTTTGGAACCTCTCTGACCATGCAGAGCATAACTATGTCCCCTGAAATCCAAAGTAGGAAAGGAAGTAAATGCTTACGCTATGTGTGGTCAGAGAGTTCCTAAAATGCAGTAATTTTTGTGGATAGTTCATCAAATGGTTTAGTCCTTTGTTTGGTTGAAGCTTACTCTTGGTGCGGGTTGGTTGCAGTTTAGTCATCTTTTATTTAAATGATTTTTAACTTACAACTAAGTTTTTTTTTCTTTCTTTTTTTCTGGCCTACTGTTCATACCTGTTCGTGATCATTTGAGTTAGCTATCAGTATGATGATAATGCCGATAGTTTTGAGCATTTGAGTTAATCACAGCTCTTCTAAAAACAGAATGCAGGCAATGAAGCATTTAGATCAGGAAGCTATACAGAAGCAGTGGAGCATTATACTGTTGCTTTATCTAGCAATATGGGATCTCGTCCGTTTTCAGCTATCTGTTTGTGCAACCGCGCTGCAGCACACCAAGCTTTAGGTCAAATTACTGATGCTATTGCAGACTGCAGTCTTGCCATAGCTCTTGATGGCAATTATGTAAAGGTACGCCATGAAAGTTCATTTCAAAGTGAATACGGCATAAGCATGTGTGGGTAAACTAAGAATGAATTTGCTCTTTCCTCTTTAATGATGGGAAAAGCCTCTGTCAAGTGCTCTATTAGGGGATGATAGGCTTTCTTGTCACAAAGACCCATTCTTTTACCCTATTTCTAATTAGTAGATATCAATATACCAATTCATTAAAATTTGACAAAGTCAGTAAAGTCTGACATTCTTTTACCCTATTTCTAATTAGTAGATATCAATATACCAATTCATTAAAATTTGACAAAGTCAGTAAAGTCTGATATTTTTATTGGAAATATTTCAAAAAATAAATAAAAATCATTGTACTCATTTGCCTTTTTACTTTAAAAGAAAAAAAAGAAAGAAAAACTGTAGTTCTTTTTTCATTTTTATGGGTGACTACTTGAACTCACAAAAATATCTGATATTCCAATTAATAGTGCCAAACGTAATCTGTACAATCTACAATGGGTGCAACTTATGTCCTGAGACCTACTAGTTAAATATCTGATATTCCAATTGATAGTGGCTATCATAATTTTTCTCAAGAAATCAAGGTATTCTGTTAAATGTTACCTGTATTCTCAGTTTCTTTTGGCACTGAATTTTCTTTTGTAATTTTTTAAGAGCACTGAATTTTCTTATGTAATTTTTTCATTTCAGAGCACTGAATTGTTCTTAACTTGAATTAGATCCTCAGTAGTTTTGTTTGTGATTTTCTTCTAACAGGCAGTTTCTAGAAGAGCCACCTTACATGAGATGATACGAGACTATGGACAAGCGTCTAGTGATCTCCAAAGACTTGTATCCATTCTAGAAAACCAATCTAATGACATGGCCAAAGAGCCTGGCTCACAAGGTAGATCCAATGGCAGCGTAAAAGAATTACGCAATGCTCGTCGACGTGTGCCTTTGATGGAAGAAGAAGCTAAAAAAGGAATCTCCTTGGATTTTTATCTTATTTTGTAAGTTCCTCTTATAGTAATGCCTTCACAGCTTAGTAATTTAGTACCTTGCATATATGATGCTAGAAGCCTTGTTTATTCTTCCTGAATCAGTTACAGTAGAGTTAGCATTTCATTAAATATGGATGGCTTTCAACAAATTTAGGGTGTTAAAAGATAATGAAAAGATAAGACAGATGTCAAATGTAATTAGGATAAGAAATCTCTCATTATCCTTAATAACAAGGAAAAAGTTATAGATAGCGGGAAACTCATGGGCAGTTTTGAAAGCATTTTGATACATACTTCACGGACGCTTCAGTAAAAAGAAAACAAAGACACGATGGATACAAGAACAATTATATTTGCTGAGCATACATCAACTGGAATCGTAGCGAACTTGTACTACATCAGATGGTATCTGTGCATTCATGTGCAATAAAAAAAAATGTTACAGGTGTGATTCAAGTTGGTTTAAAACAGAACTTAGGTATCATAGTTTGTAGGTTACTTAGTATTCTTGCATGTCTAGACTGCTGTCTCTGATGTTTTTGCGAAAAATCTTTTAGTGGTTTGAAAGTCATACTTTGCTATCGGCTTGTGGACCAAAGTTTTCCTGTACGTACACTAATTAGAATGATGTCACTGTCAGTGATACAATACGAAGCTTTTTATACTAGAGTTTTGTAGGAAATCTGTCAGAAAGAGCTCCAACGGCCAAAGCTCTCCAAACGAATAGTTTGTATATTGTGAAATTTACATTTTAGGCCTTCTTGGTCTTTGATTGTGTGTCATCCCATGCCCAGATTTTGGAGTCTATTATGGCGCTAATAAATTTATGGTCAAATTTCTATAAAGGCTATGAGTTTAGAATGTTATGCCTATTTTCCTGCGACTTTTTTTCCAATGAGTTCTTGTTATAAATCTCAATGCCAGGGGAATTAAACCATCTGATGAGAGTTCTGAAATTAAGAAGGCTTACCGTAAGGCAGCGCTGAAGCATCATCCTGACAAGGTTTTAAACTTTTATACCTCCCATTCTTGTTTAAGCTGTTTTTTTCTGTACATTTTACTCTGACATCCCATTCTGTCGTATTTTTACTTTTTTGGTCGGAGTTAGGCTGGCCAGTTCTTAGCAAGGAGTGAGAGTGGAGATGAAGGGCAACTCTGGAAAGAAATCTCTGCGGAGGTTCACAAGGATGCTGACAGGCTCTTTAAAATGATTGGAGAGGCATATGCAGTACTTTCAGACCCTACGAAGGTTTTTTAACCCCCCTGATGTGTGCTAATTGATAGTTATTTACTTTTAAGAGAAACATATTGATCTTTGCACTACAAATTTGAATTTGAATCATTTTATTTAGGATACTTATTGATTTACCACCTCCTACAATATTTATTATTTGCTTTTATCATAGACATATTCTGCCCTTCCATATCTATAAAAATTGGCCCTAGCTTCCTTTTATAAAAAAAAAAAAATTCAAAGCTTATTTTGAAAACTTCATACATACTGAATTACCGATACAGAAACTGCAGTTTTAAAATTGTGACATCACTCTTGAAGATTATTTGTTTTACATATTTTTTCCCTTTCAAAATTTTCATGTTTTGCTGTGAAGTGTTGATACTCAGTTGAAGCTAAGTTTCATACTTTGACATTTGAAGATCCCTGTCGAGCATGACGACTGAAACAACATTCATTTTTTATGACATGCCTTGCTTTTTGTAAATTTTAGTCATTTAGATGAAATTATAGTTGGTAACATATCTAGTTGGAAGCAGCTACTTGGTGTGAAGTATCAGTAGATGCTTCAACTAGGACTTAAACCAAGCATTTTACTAAATCAAGATCTCCTTGTGTTTTTTTTCTGCCAACAGCGGTCACAGTATGATCTCGAGGAGGAGATGAGAAAAGTAGATATTGAATGCAAGGAAAGCAGCATCCATAGAAAAGCTTCAGGTTTTCAGAGTCCTGGCTGCAGCAGTTATAGAAGACCTGATTTCCGTAGCTCTCCATTTGAGAGAAGCTCTGGTGGTCGAAACTATGGCAGGGAGAGTTGGAGGACATATGGAAATTCGTATCCTCGATGGTAGAAGGCAACTCGTTGATTTGAGAATGTTATACAAGTTCAGAGTGCGTGTTTCGAGTGGCCCTAGTTTCATAGAGGATCAATGGAAATGTGCTGGCTGCGAGTGCTCGGGTAATGACTTTCATAAGAGTGGATCCAACTGAAATAGCCGCAGTCTTCGAACTGAAAGCCAGCTACAAATGGATAGCGCGATGTTGAGCCAGGTACACAGCAACAATGTCTATGTATTTACTACCTTCCAAATACAAAAACGCAACACCTTGACCCTGCCCCGACGATACTCAGCGAGTGCTGGCGATAACGGAAGAAGAGCTGGAATTCTTCGGTTTCCATCCCACTTTGGTGGGAAGCAAATAACAGTGAGCATAAGTAATTGTAACATTTGTATTTGTTCGTAGCAATTTTACAAATGATTAGCCCAATATTATAAATGCTTGTTGAAAGGTGTTATAAAACAATGCTGTAGCTTTGTCCTTCTAAGTCATTCTGCTTGCGATATCGAGCCAACATTTGCACTAACCTTTGGATTTGGACTTTCTTGATTTAAAAGTGTCATGTGTCATTTTTTTCATTAAAAAAAAAAAGAGAGAGAGAAAGAGATTTAATGCATTTGAAATTATATTTTTTTTGTTTTCCGTATTTAGTTCCTATCCAAAAAAGTATCATGATTTTTGTGTAAATAATGACACGTGACATTTGAAAAAGTGCGAAAGTCCAAATGCAGAGGTTAGGACAATTGTTGCTACCACTCCCCTTATTACTATACTTTACCGGCTGAGTTTTGTGCAAATTGTAAACAAAACAACTTTAAAATTGTAAACAAAATGTGAATATGAAATAGAAAGCTTGGGTTAAGAATTTTGTCAAATCCAAATTTAGTGGTTTCATTAGTTGGGCATCAAAGTATCACGAAAGTAGGAGAAATTTGGAGCATTGTTTGTGTTTGGCTCAACTGGAGCATTTGCTACACTATTAGAACTTTGAGTAGACTGTCGATTCTCCTCACTAAACTTTTACTTGGTTTTCAATTTTTCTCTTAAATTTTTTTATTAGAAAATTAAGGACTTAAAATTATTCTTTTGTCGATTCCCCCCCTATCATCATTTTTTCATATATTCCATCCAAATTGACGTTAATTCTTGTCACATGCACATCACATGACAAGCCTTTGAGGGTAGAAGTGTCACTTTGCTAGGCTTTCAAACACAACATGTTGAATTGCATAGATTTGCACAAGTCGACATTTTAGAAATTTAAGGTTTTCAATTGCTTTGCAAAACGTGTCTTCAGCAAGAGTTAGAAAAATTGATGTTACCTCTGTCGATTTAATAGTTAGTTGATCGTGGATTTGACAAAATTAGTAAGATTATAGAAAGATTAGGTGCGAATCTGGGGGAATCGTCCAAAGTACCGGAAGTCTACATTTTATCCTCATGTAGCTTTGTTTTACATGGCTGTCGGTTTTACATGGCTTTTTCTCTCTTCTGTAGCTTTGTTTGAGATTTCTTTTTGGTTTTCCAATGGTAGTTAAATGTATATGTCGTCCCAAAGAAAAGCATGTGCACTTTCTTATCCTCCTTTTCCTTTTTCTTTTTTTTTTCTTTTTTTTTTTTGAAACAAACTATATTATCTTTACTAGGCGATGAGTTTAACCTCATAATGGGTTAGCAATCATGTGGTTCAAATTCGCCTTTGATGATAATAAAACCTAAGACCTTTCATTTATAAATGAAAAGGAATATCATTGTACTGTAATACTTTCTATCTTTTGTCTGCAAGTGTTTTTCTTAGTTGAGTAAATGGTATGGTTGTCGAAGTAAATGTGGTTGTTTGGTAGAATTAAGGATAGAAGTTGGCAGGAAGAAAGAGAGGGAAAATTTTCTTATTATTTTATTTGTCAGGTTTTCATTTATTTATAAGACTGAAACGACTTAACCACTTTCACATGCTTTCATTTAACAAAGATTTGAAAGGAACATATGGAAAACTAACGATAGGGGATAGTCGGCTGAAAAATTGATTTGAGTCCTTAATTTTCCAATACGAAAGTTTAGAGAGACATCGAAAACTAAGTAAAGCCCAAGGAAAAGTGACAAAAGTTCCAATAGAATTATTCAAAATGACCATTGCTCCGCTTTGTGATAAGTTTAAGAACTAGTACTCACAAGGGACAACTACTCCAATTTTTTCAAAGTAAAAGATCAGGGACAACTGCTCCAATCTGTTTCCAATACAAAAAGATAGGAATACGATTGAAGGCAATTCAAAATTGATTATAAATGGCAAATCATGGAAATATAAACAACGTAAAATCATCGTTTTTCAAAATTCTATTGATGCTATTCCACACTTAATTTGATGTATATGAGTAATGTCATACTTACCATCTATTTGTACCATCACTTGTACCATCTCTCTAATAGAGATATGACCCGCCAAAGCATGCGGGTTCCATCTCTATTAAAGAGATGATACAACTAGATGATAAGAATAACATATTTATATATATAAATATCTTCGTTCCACGAAAATCGAATAAGGGCATCGAATTTCTTAATAAACTACAACCATCCTTACAAGGAAAATAGCAAACAAGATCAAACGGGAGCATAAGCTCGAAATGAAATTACATTTTGATCCAACAAATCTCGACATGTCCTGAGCACAGCTTCATTACTAAAATTCAAAATTTTTCAAGTCACTCAGACTTCAGTTACAGGTCAACAAAATCTCGGAGAATTTCTGGATATCAAGGAAATGAAAACTAATAATTTCAGATAAAATTCACCATCAACATTCAACGAGCAATCTGTGCCTGTGCATGTTCCAGAATCTGACCAACCAACTTGTAAGTACGCCCCGATAATGCCTTTGTGTGGTCTATCAGTTGCTCATACCTGAAAACCATTTGAGTAATACATTAAAAACGGGCATGAAGCATAAAGGCAACTGATCCAAGAACAAAAACAGGCAGTTAATGGTTATAAATTTCAGTCTACGTCAATTAACTTACACATTCGGATGGTTAGGTTCCATGATAACAGTTCCTGACTCCGAGTCAATCTTGGCATCAAGCTTTGAGCTCCGAATTAGATTCACAATCCATCTCTCAGCCTCCTCATAATTTAAGTTTAATTTCTCCGCAAGCACTCTGCCAAACCACGATTTTATTAGATTTAGTATCTGAAAAGAGCGAAGAACGTGTTTTTTTTTTTTTTTCCTAAGAACAAAAAAGAAATACGTCCAGTAATAGACAATAAAGTCAATTAGGTTCCCGAAAAATTCTACGAAACTATAAAAGACAAGATATCATTCGTACACACCACATATGAAAAACAAAAAACATGCACCAACATTTTGAACAATAATGCCCTAACATTTTGAACCCAGCAAAAACCCTTACACACATGACTCTTATCTCCCAAGCTCTGGAACAAGAACAAATAAATATGTTGACAGACCGGTCAAATTGCGCCTAAAAATCTAAAGGAATATGACTTTAAATGTGCCTAGTCACAATACTTCTATGAAAGTCTTAATAAAGATAAAAAGAACCAACGAAAGTGTACTCTGACATATGACTTAATCATACACCACTTCGCATGGTGAATTACAGAACTTTTCTACTATTTTCCTTTTCTTATATAGAAATCAGAATAATGATGTCTAACAAAGAAAAAGGGCACAGCCAAACTCATAGAAGAAATTACTTACCCCATGTCAATGCGCTGATGTATACGACAGTATGTCTCGAAGATAAATAGACGAGCATTTTCAAGGAACTCATCCCTCAGTGGTACGGTAGAGAAACTCCCTTCTTCTGCTCGTTTTCCAAGGAAAGGATCATTCAAAATTACCTACATTGCCAGACAACCCACATTGTCAAATCAATAGTCATGGGCCTAGATGACAGAGATAATGCAAATCAAGTTTTCAAGCAGGAATTGAGATATAGCAGAAGGCAAATTTACAATGAAATGGTCAGCTCTGTTACGCAAGGGTTGGAAAAAGTGGAATTTGAATTCTGAAACATCTCAAGGGTTATCAGGCACTTACTTCTTCACACTCCCTCATCTTCTTTTGCGCACCATCAAAGTCATAATTAACATAAACGCATGTCAAAAACTCGGTGATGGGATCTTTATAAGAATGTTGTTCCTGTTGAATAACCTTTATAAAATCCTTGAACTGAGGTCTCCTCCTCTTATTGACAATGAATGCAGTGGCTAAGTAACGCACAAGATGGGGAGCATTGGTTTGAATGGCATTCAGATACCTGTAAAAAAAAATCAAACATTTCTATCACGAAATAAGTATAAAATACCAAGTCACTTGGTATTCACTAGAACTCAATTTTCCATAGGGAATGTCTATGTTTCATACCATGAAGCTCAAAAGTATATCCATACTATTACTGTCCAATACAATGATAAAACCACTAACTTAATGGCATCTCAACTATGTAGGCTACTAGGATTGTACTGTAATAAGCATATTCTTTTTCCTAACATTTCAAGAATGCATTCTTGTTCAGAACAATATGCTGACACCATCCACATGGTAGAGGCAAACGATTATCAATGTTACGAGAGCAAAAGCACGGGGTGTCACATTTACAGCTCAATACCAGAGCAGAAGTAGCAGCACCGTTAGTGTCAAATGAATGATCAAGGGTATAAATACATCAATTAGAACCAAAGATGATTCGAAGGTTCTAACTTTTCAGGGGTAGACAGTGATAAGAAAAGAGATGCGCATGAATTCCGGGTTGTTTTATCAATTGGTAAAGCAAGAGGTAAATGTACAGTGAAACCAAAACAGTCAAATCAGTAAGGGCAGATGACATACTTGTCCTGATTAAACAAGTCAATGATTTGTGTTCTCCCGTTATCATGGTTGAAAAATATGAAGAGACTCCAATGCATCAACCATATTCTATTTTGCACTTGATTCATAGGTGAACTGAAACTCTGCAACAGAAATCATCCACCTTTATAATGGAACTCAAAAGAAAAAAATAATACACCTTTAAATAAACAAGTCGATAAGTGAAAAAATAACAAACCTTTGAATCAATGATTTCTTTCAAGCGGTTAAGCTCTTCAAGGGCAATATCCCAGTTCTGCATCAATATCTCAGCCGCCAGCTTTCCCCACAATGCACTCAGACTCCTGTCACTGTTTGTGCACAAAGCCCTGTACTGATATAGATAATCAGCAGCACCAGAGTAGTTACCACATTCAAACTGAAATTTTGCATACTGATATAACGCCTCGATCTGTTGTGGACCAATCTGTTCATACAGCCATGCCATGAAAGTTAAAACTAATGCCAAACCAAAAGAACAAAAAACCAAAAAGAAAACACAAACAAAATCTCTTTGTCCAATAAAAGTAATGTTAACCGCACAAAAATTAGATCTTTTTACATTTAAATACGCAATATTTTCTAAGATAACATCTGCAAATACTTGCAATATTAAGCTGCATATGCTATTACCCATATCAAATTGGTTGCTTCTACTCCTGGGTTTTAAAAGTTAATAGGAAAAAAGAAATTGGGGCAACCTGGTAACGGTCACTAAGCATCTGGAGATTGTACTGCTTGTCAGCCCTCAACTCCTGAACCGCGGCGGCATTCTGCAAGAAATTAACAAGGGGCGCTGCCGATTCCTCCAGAGCCTTGAGGCGAGCCACGACCTCTACCCTCCTATCCACCATATCTAAACATCCACAGAGACAAATTGTCAAACACCTAATGGGAAGCGCATATACAAACACACACAGACCTATATATACAAAAATTCCCACAAACAAACACATATACAACTACAAATACATAATGGGTGTGTATATATTTCACCTTGGGGAACATCTTCGGTGTGATAGAGGGACTTGTGGATATCCATGGCGTAGTCAACCATGTTGGTCTTGTTAAGGAGCTCAATCTTGGCCTTGAGGATCTGCTCATCTGGGTACATCTGACGCTCCTGCAGGAACTCGAGGAGGGGAAAAACCAGATGCCGGTCGAGGTTGGGCGCGATGCGCGGAGTTAGGTCGTACTCCGCCATGGTCAGTGAGCGAGCTCCTGGTTTTTGCGGCAAGCGGAGACGGAGAGCGTCGAAGAGAAACAAGTAGCAGGAGAAGGGTTTTTTTTTTTTTTTTTTTTGGGTAAAAAGAAGGAGAAGGGTTTTGATATTGTAGGTTTAACTTGTCGTTTTTCTTTTTGTTCTAGCAACTTGTGCTTTTCTTTTGAGAAGAGGTGGGCCGAGTCCCATTTACTAAGACTCGTCGGCCCCAAAACCGTTCCTTCTCCGAATCCAACTTACATACCTCTCAATCAATCATGTTTACTTATATGTAATCGTAATTGAATAAGGTCTTAAACTTTGTCGAGAAATGATTTTCCCACATCGTTTTTAATTTTTTACACACTTTTTTTTTTATTATTTATGATCATCAAATTGAATAAATCAAACTAAATTAATACAATCAAGATTAAACAGAAAGATGTGTAGGCGGATAGAAAAAAAAGTGTGGATTCTAATTGCTAGTGTAGGATTAGGTGGGGATGGTTCGCTACATTCAACTAATGTTATATTAAAAAATCAATGTCTAACTTGCATATTTCTGCTCACGTAAAAATAGATAATTGATCAATCACGAACCAAGATTGACAAACCCAAAAAAGCTAATCCAACGCCAATAAAGTTTCTCATCTATCCCAAGTCAGTGCCCAACGAATTGACCAAATAATATCTTGGAGCTACAAAGAGGAGAATGACTTTCATAAATGGGTTCACCGTTATATGGCGTTTTTGATTTAAAATGTCATGTCATGTGAAAAGAAACTTACACCCGACTTGAAATTATTGGAGGAATGCCACAATAGCAGTGAATCCGTTTCATACAAATTGCCCTTCATTAAGAGGGTTTCGAAACTTTAATTGAAAATGCAAATTACATTTGCACCTTAACTTTTAATTATACCAACTACATATAATCTAGTGATATAAGTTCGAATTATTCTTTTCCCATTGCTTACAAAAGCCATGTGACATGGAGTAGACAAAAGACATCCAAAGGATACCCAAAGTAGACAAAGAATTGGACTTGGAATTAATCCTTTTTCCTTTCTTTGTAAAATGAAAGAGAATCAAACCCTAAACTCAACATTAATCTTTAACCCATGGGTAATATGAAAAAGTATGAGCAAACTTTCAAAGTTACACTCTCCTCATTTACTACCTTTTCTTTTCCTTATTTATTTGGACAATTAAGAAAATTGTAAGGAGTCATTTCTACTTACAAATGAATTAAATTATAAGATGTGAATTGTTCATTTTCGAAATTCGAAACTAATACCTCTCACGTACATATAAAGATAAATAATATTAAATCATAATACTAAATGGCCTTGAATATAACATTTATACTCTCAACAATGCACCCAATTAGTGTTCGAAGTGAGATTGTAAAGATAAAAGAGTCTCACATCGGTTAAAGGAGAAACATTGTAAGGGTTTATAAGAGGTTGGGCTACTCCCTATATTACCAATTGGTTCTTTGATGGAACCTCAACTTTTTTATAGTATTAGAGCAGACTGCTCCATGTGTGAAGTCCAACAACCACATGTGCTCCACATCACCCCATTTGTGTTGTCCATGTGTCAGACTTGAAAATTTGAATTTGCCACATGTGAGGGGACGTGTAAGAAAATGAAGACAAAGTCCCACATCGGTGAGGGACCAAACCATGCAAGTGCCTAAGCGGCCAAACTATGCAAAGGCTTGAGGGACCAAACCATACAAAGACTTATAAGCCATGCATGATTTGAGGAACCAAATCATACAAGGACTGTATAGGATATTAGACTACTCCCAATATTACGCTTTCACAATCGGCTATTCTCTGGTAAATATTTAAAGTTGTAAACACACAACATCTAGAATAAATATTTTGATAATTACCAAGTTACTATTACTTACGGCGTTAATTAGGGGCAGACCGACTTAGAGGCAAGGGGGGTCAGCTGACCCTCCAAACTCCAGTGAATCTCCATAGATGACTTGGGTGCTGTTTCTTTGAAGGTTGGAGTTGTCCTTCATATATGCCCTTCAACTGCTTGATAAAATGCATTAGAGAATTGTTGCCCCATTACAGTCTAGTCCTAATATTATTTACCTATGGTTTGTCTGTTAGTTGTGATTACAATTGTAGGAAGCAAAAAAGAACCAAGTAAAAAACTATCCAAAAATGCAAAGTAAATGAAACGGTGATCTCAGAGAATAACAAAGCATCATCATCATTCTTGGATAGGATGCAATGATATCAAGCATTGTTAGTGTGTTCAAGATAAGTGTGTTTCTTTATTAAGCATTCATATAGGAGCAGTATTGGAACATGTTAGTTACCCACGCAAATGAGGAATTAACAGGTGTGTAGTATGCCTTTCCAAATGACTTCAAGCTTACCAAGACTCGATGAAAAGACGATACGCATGTTATTTCTAATAAAAAAAAAATTTGCGCGCTACCCTTACTGACCCCCTAATATTATTTTCTGGATCCGTCACTAAATTTAATTTCAAGCAGGTGGGAGCCGGGAAGCCAAGAGATGAAAGCAGGAGTAGCCGTTACCTCATAACATTAATAGAGAGTGGGTTAATTAAGCAAAAGCCGCTTAATTACTTGTTACAGAAATGCTCTACTGGTCTGAAAAATGCTTTGTCTTATCAATACGCTGCTCTCTCTCTCTCTCTCTCTCTCTCTCTCTCTCTCTCTCTCTCTCTCACATATTTATATCTCTTCTTCTGACATGCCGTTTCATTCCGACTCCTCCCAATCCAATCACCAAAACCAAATTCATGAGCTTGTTCTACGTCGCCATGACCAAACCCAACTTCTTCTTTCTCTTTCTTGCGTCTCTCCTCTTCTCGTCTCATCACTCCTCCTTCACCATTTGCAGTGCAGCAGTCAAGGACTCTGATGAAGTTGGTAATTATTCTCTCCCTCTTCCAACATTTCATTTTCTTTATTTTCCATTATATTTCCTGATTTTTCTGGTCAAACCATTATGTTTCCTGATGAACACCACATTGTTTACGGTGTTTGTTATGCTTTCAACACACACACACACACACACACACACAAAAATTACACAAATTACACAAATTATATAAGAATATGCTGGAAATGGCAGCTCCATTTTCCTAAATATTGTGTTCTGTGAAGTCATAAGAAACCCAGGATCAAAAATCAAGACAAACAATTTGAAATTGAGGTCCTTTTGACAATATAAATCATTTTGATTCTGATTCTAGCATTAATCTAAGGATCTAATGCACCCACAGCAACATTTTACCATTCTTATTATTCCTTTACCTTTTGGCAGAGAGATTTACCTACACTCCCCCTACATCATTATGCCATCCAAATTAATACTACAATGTCATGTGAGAAAATGAAAGTTCAAACGCATTGTTATTTTTTAAAAATGGCAAGATGACGAATCAAGAGTGAGAAAATTTAAACGTACGACAATTATCATCAACTCGACAACTTTGCTGAGTATAATTAGCTAAATCAAGCTAACAATGCATGTTTAACACGTAGGACCAATTTTGAAATTATGCATGTGATTCAGATCTAGGTGATTTAAATTTTTGGGTACCCCACTTTGGACTGACTTTTTGAAAGAAGCATTATATACTTAGTATTTTTATGGAATTAAGTTTAATTGGGTAGCAATGTCACGTGCTTGGACAGACATTTTTAGACCATATGAGTTCTTTTTGGTATGCTTGGGAATAAAGTATTACTTAGCTTCTTACTGTCTGTCACAGGTTGAATTATTCTTGGTTTCTTTCTAACTTTTTCTTTCTTCTCATTCAAGTCCTTGTTTTTGGTTTTAATGTACACCATCCAATCTTTTCTTTGTCTGAGAAAGAAAATATCCTCTCTCTCTCTCTCTCTCCCTCTCTCACACACACAGAGAGACTGTAAATAGGGTGGTACATTTAGACTTTGGTTATCTTATGAAAGTAGATTTGATTTCCACAATTAGATCTTCTATTTCAATCGTAACCCTTCATTTCCAGTATCACTCAATGCTACGTATTATTGAAGATATTGTCATGAAATAACATGTAGATATAGGAAATAAGACGCTTGGATAACCGTACCTTGTGATGTAATTAACCTAGTTTTTCATGTATGGGGCAGGTGATGAAACTCCATTTACTTATCTTGAAGGAACTGGTAAAGGACCAAAGAAATGGGGACAAATTGACCCTCATTGGAAAGTTTGTGATACTGGAAAATTGCAGTCTCCAATCGATCTTCTTGACCAAAGGGTGCAAGTTTTCCCTCACTTGGGGAAATTGATAAGGGATTACAAACCAGCTCCTGCTACTGTGAAGAACCGAGGTCATGACATCACGGTGAGCTACACCGCTCCCAAGTGTCTACTCTTTCTATTCTCTTCCATATTTGTCTATCATATTGAACTTGAATCCAATCAGTTGAATATGTTAATATGCGACAGTTTTTAGTTGTTTTTAACATGAGGCTTTTATCAGATGAGGTGGAACGGAGATGCAGGAAAAATCAACATAAATGGGACTGATTATAGACTGTTACAATGTCATTGGCACTCACCCTCTGAACATACGTTTAATGGAACAAGGTTTTTTTTTTTTTTTTTTTTTTACCAGTTTTTCGCAATTTTTATTCTGTGAAATATATAATCTAATGTTGCAGCTACCATGCTAATTTATATTAGTATATAACCATTTCTATTTTCTGTCGATGTATTTCTTCCTCTAATTTTCTTCATAGGTATGCTTTGGAGTTTCATGTTATTCATTTAAGCTCTACCGGAAAGATTGCTGTAATTGGAATTGTGTACAAATATGGTCGACCTGATCCCCTCCTTTCAAAGGTATCTCTCTCTGTTTGCCTCTAAACTTTCATGAGTTTAAGGTAATGAACGTAAACTCAATGCAATAATGTAGAAAAACCTTATCTATTTATACTTGCGACACAGAGAAATCATCTCCAAATTCAGTTGCTCGATCACAATTCACAAAACACGCTTTGCTCAACAAACCAATTATCGTATCAGCTATGCAAACTTAGGTAACTAATTAGGTGATATTGCCTGGATATGTAGATGCAGTGATAAAACTTAAACAGACCCGTTGTATCATGCTGTGGGACGTTTTGGAGTTGAGAAAAACACTTGGTTATCATTTAACACGTATCAGAAAGAGTAGCATGTAATCCCATAGCATAATTTCCTGTTTTCTATGTGTAACCTCCATTTCCTTGCTAAACAAAAGGTATAAATTTTCTCATGAAGCGAAAATACAACAAGCTACGGGACTTTTAACATTTAAGCTGCTATATCATTTCATACTTTAAATGCCAGATTGTTTCCAGGTTTATACACTTATTTGTTAATTTTGTTATCCATTCTGGCAGCTATTCCACCACATAAAATCGGTTGGGAAAGAAGAGGAGGTTGACATAGGGGTTATTAATCCTGGGGATATTAAGTTCGGAAGCAGAAAGTATTACAGATATATCGGTTCTCTTACCGTTCCTCCGTGCACCGAGGGAGTAATTTGGACAATCGTCAAAAAGGTTTTTCACTCCTTACCCTTTTGCAATGATAGATTTTCACTTTACTCCAACAACCTGGTTGCCAACGTTGTTTTTTTTATAGGTGAGGACAGTTTCAAGGGAGCAAGTGCATGCACTAAGGGAGGCTGTACATGATGTAAGTATATCTGAATTCGGAAAATATATATCCCAATTGAAAACTCTAAACGCGAGACTGTTTACCTATCCGATGTGAGACTTGCTCGTTTAAACCACTGAAATCGTTGGTCCATAGATTCCATACCTCATCTATAATGTTAAACAATCTTAAAACCAAAGAAGTTGATGGAAGAAGACACTTTCCGGCAACTGGATATTCGAGTTCAGATATCCGATCTCGGGGCCTATAAATAGCTATAGGGTTGAGGAAAAGTTGAAAGCGTGTGAAAGAAAACACCGAGGCATTGATGCAGACACTTTTTCCTCGTTCAATCTGTGTTGCGCAGTTGAAGTTTAACCGTGTGTGTGTCGTTTTCAGGGATTCGAGATGAATGCAAGGCCGACTCAAGAATTGGATGGAAGACCAGTGCTGTTATACACTCCAAGGGACAATGGAGGTTCTGCTTAATTAGTGTCTAATTACATTAGAGAGGGATATGCGTGCTTTTTCTTCTTTACCCATATATATTGAAATTGAAGTTTAATAGTTTCCCACTTATTGAATGTTGGTTATATGCATCAGTTATCACATCACGTGGTACATCAATGTGATACAAAAAATGTCGTTTCCCTACTCTATATTAAGATATATCTATCTGGATACGTCCATACACGTATTATACTTCAACCCTAAATTAGGCCAAACTTTTTCATGTTCCTTGTGGTGACATGACATTTTCAATGTGACCCTCATGTTGAAAAAGTTGTTAATTGTACCTCCTTGGTGAGTGCCATTAGCTTCCAAACTTAAACTTTCATCAGTCTCCCGTTAAATAAACCCATATGATCATCACACGGTGAGGTTACATTTGTCATTTCAATCCAGATTAAGAAGGCCATGGACATCTAGTATGGAATTGGATTTCATGGAAAAGAAGCTTGGACAAGGTGAAGCTAATCCTGAAAATCCACGTCAATGGCTAGGAGATGAGGTGAAGATGAAGTCACACCTAATTTCTTAGGTATAGTTTGCTTTGAAAATACGGATGCTTGTGATAAATAATTATTGTTTGCATTGCCTACCACATCTTTGATCAGGGGTTGAACTCATGTGCAAACAATATATATCCCAAAATAGGAGGAGGGTTGTGTCACCCAACACATCAGTCTCACTCCTCGTGTTTGCCAAGGACGCAGCCACAGGAGCTGTTTGATTTTGTTGCCGTGGGATCAATCGCTAGGTGATGGAGGAGAAAGAGGTCGTCCTTCAAATTTCAAGGGATCCATCACCAAATCAAACGACAGATATCCATGGCTTTCTTAATTTGGATATAAATGACACCATGTGATAGTCATGTGGTCTTATTTAACAGGAGGCTAGGTTTGGACCTTAATTGCTAACGAGGCTCGCTACAGGAGTAACATTGAAAGTACCATATCACCATAGAAATCACAAAAAAATTGGCCCATTAATTATATCGACTAACAAGGTAATCTAATCTCTTTTTTTGTTTTTTCTTTTTTTTTTTTTTTTTTTTTTTCGGGTAACACGGTAATCTAATCTTTATGTGTGTTTTAGCAAGGTAATATAATCTCGTTAGTAGCAAGTAATAAGATAATTTAAGGGATGTATGTGCTTTTCATTTCACCTTTTAGGTAGGTAGATTATAAGACTTGTTTGGAAATACTTTTAAAATGGCTGAAAACGGTTTTGGTAAAAATGTTTTTGGAACCAATTTTTGATAAAAATGCAAGTGAATCTTGAAAGAGCACTTGAAGTGCTTTCGGACCCAAAAACATTTTCTCTAAAAGCGGTTTCAATCATTTTAAAAGTATTTCCAAAAGAGTCATATATGTAACTTAAACTAGTTTTTTTTATTTTAGATTTATATTTTTATTTGGTGCATGTATTATAATAGCTACTGATCAATCCACGCAAATTCAAAAGAAAAAATTTATGTGAAATAAAAAAATATTTGCTAGGTAGCAAAATGATCATTTAAAAAGGAAAATGATTCTCACCGGATTTTTTTCTTGGAGATCCTGAGGATTTCGCGATCGTGACCGTTCCGGATCCTTTTCCATTTAAAAAGCAAAAAGGTGAATCTAATCCAGTATACATGCAAAGAGTGCGACCAGAGTTTCCTAGAGCCAGAGTAAAGCGAACGGGAATACAAATACTTCACAAATTCGGTTATGGAACCAACAGCTCTGGGTGGAAATGCTTTTAGGATGATGACTATATTTGGATAATCGTCATCAAAGTAGGGTTTTAGGTTTGATTTTGGGGAAGGTAGATGAGTTTGTCAACAGAGTTATATAAAAATATTACGCAAGCTACGGATCTGGATCTGATGTCCACCGGACTTGACTTTTTCGAACACATGACAGATCAAGTCACCCAAATCAAATTTGGTTTTGGACGCTTCTTGGCTTTCCTTTTTGTTATCTGCATTATCGTGATGCCTCACTAACTAGAGTAACTCTCATACTGAGCGAGAAGTGAGTTGGACTGGTGATTAGGCAGCTCTTATATCGGGTGAGATCCCGGGTGGAACCAAAATAAAAGACTCATATGATAAGTGTCATACGTAATGCAGTAGTGGTCAGTTCCCTTACACAAGTCTTTCTCCTTCATAACAGCAAAGAAAATCACCACAAATGAACTTTTATTTCCAAGCATTAACCTTTGATAGGAAAATGATGCAAAAACCAAACTCTGAAGCATTATTCTATGAAAGCTAAATAGGGAGAAATTACAGCTACAGCATTCCACACCACGCAGAAACAGGAAAAAAAAAGGAGCTAGATATTACAACATTACTGTAAAAACCCGAATTCATAAAGCCTTTTAACAACGAACAACCTACGCAATGAGGAATGGCAGGACGGTCAACATGAACTCCTCATAACTGAAAGTTCCCGTACCAGTGTACGCTTTGTCCTTCTCCTTAAACTTCTCAGTTAATCCCTGAAAGACACAAGAATAACAAAAGAAAACGCTCCATTAAGTATAACAGTTTATCCGCTAAATTACATCCTGTACACATCCAACAGCATAAAACTGCACACAGACACCCCCTTTTTTTGAGCTAACTTGAGATAATGAAAGCCCTTTTTGTAAGGTATTAATGTTGTGAAAACTACAACTCAGTGATGAACAATGATTTTATGGCTTCCGAGCAAAGAAATTTAGCAATGAATAAAGGGGTGTTTGTTCTCGTTTTGAAATGGTTGTCAGCTAACTGCATCAATAATTTGAAGTTTTGAATACTCAACCATGCAAACTAGGTACAAATTGGAATACACTTGCACATCGAGGCTTTTAAGATATGCTAGATAGCAAAAACTTATAAACAATGCTCAAATATCAAAGTAGGAGTGAAATTTAAAGCACAGGACCAAGTAAAAGTTCTCCAATTAAAACTATAAATTAAGTGCACAAAATATAAGCTTTAGTGAAAATCAAACTCACCTTAACAGTCAGACAGCACCTGCATTTAACCAAAACAAACAAAAGAACAATGCATAATCAGATATCATTAAGAAAACATAATACAAAATACACCAAAACGAAATGCAATAAGTATCTCCAACTCTAACGCATAAAGATTTGATCCTCAAACCAAACCCGCAAAATAGGACAAAAAAACAAAAAAAGTAAAAGGAAACATACTCGATGAAATTGTCATATTCAATGGCCCTCTTTTTGCCTCCAGACTTGTCGAATTTAGAGACCAGCAGTTCCAAAACTACAGGTGACACAGAAAATCCCAGACTCAGCAGTGCATCTCTCAACTCATTTGAATCAATGAACCCACTTCTGTCCCGGTCCGACCTCTCAAATATTCCCTGATCAACCACAACAATTACAAAAGGGTTAATTTCCCACAAAAAGAAAAAGAAAAAAAAACTTAGAAAACAAAAATAAAAAGAAATAGAAAGGGATTCTGGGGATTACCCTCCAACTTTGAAGACTGTAGAACAGTGCAGCGAATTCCTTGGGCCCTGTTTTCACAATATACCCACACACACAATAAATATCATTATTATCAACTGTTTCATTGAATTAATAGTGAATTGAGCGACACTGAAAGCTACAAAGATATATTGTAGCAAATTAGCAATGGCGATGATTTCATAAACACGAAAACAGGAGGGTAACTTGCATAGAACGTGTTCACTGCAATCGTGCCATGTAGAAAAATGAACTGAGACGCCACAGTGAAACTCTTTCCATGTAAGTAATTCTAATTCTCCAGGTGCTCCCGGTCCAAGAATAAATGTCATGCCATGTAGAAAAATGGACCGAGACGCCTAGATGACGGCCAACTCTTAAGTAATTCTAATTCTCCAAACACAGGAAAAAGTTGTGCATCAAAACAGTGGATCCCTCCCGCATAGCATAATGATTGATGCCATCAGTATCTAACGGTCCACTGACCACGCCTGCCACACTCGGAATCACACGGTGGGCCCCAGTGTTTGACTTAACTACACAACGCGGACACGCAAATAGAGACTGAGGGCATGACGGACATTACGCAACATGATTCTAACAGCGACTCAGCGCTCAGCCCAGACGACACCGTTTGTACGCCGATCAAAATCGCAGAATTAGGGCATAAATTCCCAAATTGGACGAGAAAATTACACAGATAGGAGTGCATGGAGTGTTAGGGTTTGAAAATTGTTACCGATCTTCCTGGCGTTGGTCTGGGTGAAGGTGTACATGAGAAGATGAACAGTCCTCAAGCTGAAGCTCTCATTGTACGACGACAGAGCTCTCTGCATCTCCTTGTCGTCGATGAAGCCGCTGCCGTCCTGATCCGCCACCTGAAAGCAAGCTATGACGTTCGGGTCTGTGCCCGGCGGGAACACCGATGGCAATAAAGCCGCAAACGGGCTCCCGTAACCATGAGCAGGTGGCGGGTATCCACCTCCGCCTCCTCCACCTTGATTCGGGTATCCGCCTCCGCCTCCTCCACCTTGATTCTTGTGAGGCTTGTCGGGATTATACGGCTTATCTGGATTGTACGGCTTCTCTGGCGCGTAGGCCGCGCCGTACGGTGCGGAGGATGGGGCCCCGTACGGTGCAGACGGAGCACCGTAGGGTTGGGCTGTCTGGTGCTGGTGCTGCCCTTGCGGCGGTGCGCCGTAGGGTTGGCTTTGGGGCGGCGCACCGTAGGGTTGGCCTTGGGGCGGGGCGCCGTAAGGTTGGCCTGGTGGTGGAGCGCTGCCGTAGCCGTAGCCGGGAGGAGGGTGTGGGTACCCTGACATTTTCTTTTGCTCTTGAGGAAGGTCCGAAAATTTTGTTTTGGGGAGTGGCTGCAGATTTTTGGAACCGATAGGGTTGGATGTGTGTGTGTGCGCGCGTGTGTGCGTGTGTATATGATTAAAGTTTCAAGTTCGGACCTGGAACGGCGAGGTAATTACAGCACTGCCATTGGATTTCAAATTTAACATGTTCTCTTGTCTAGCGGGGTTAAAAAACTGTGAACAAAAAACAAAAAAAAACAAAAAAACATTAGAAGATTGACCTCCTTAATAAGCAAATTAATTAATTTTTTCCTTTTTTAGTTAAGAGTAAAATCAAATGAATAAGTGTCGGCATAGAAATATCTTGTCTTCAAAAACGTGGGATCAAATTGAGAAGTGTGAACCATAGAGATGGAGCATTTTGCACTAAGTTGAAGATTTCATAGAGCTCATAGAATTACAAGTTGCATTGGAACGCGGTGTTCATCTTCAACTGTGCACCGACGACGACCTCCATCGTCAGTCAAATACCTTTTCCTTTTGATTCTAAACGCCATTGACTCCTTCTGCCAAGGGAAAAAATGGCATTGACCCATATAATCTTTTGCATGATTTATCATGATATGCACAAATGATATATTAAATGTGAAACATTGTGCGGTTCCGATGAGCTTCGACAAGTGCATTAAGTTTCCTTATTGTTTTGTGATTAGTAATGTTTTATTGTAATATTTTTAGATCTAGTTTGCAAGAATCCTTTTGAGCCGAGTTTGATATTATTTATAATGTCCTTTTATCAATGAATGAATTGTCGTACTCTTCAAAAAAAAAAGTGAAATATTTGGAATATGAATTTTTATTAATAAAAATTTATGAGTTGTATATTAGCGACTAAAGCTGGTTGACGTTTTGCTATTACCTAGAAATTCGGCAAGTTGTGGATTTGGTGCAAGAGTCACATGGATTTACCAACTACCTTTTTTCTTAAATTTAATATTTATAGCTACTTTTGGTTGATCATTGTATTTCTTTATTCGATTACCTTCTAGTTTAGTGGTATTTATTTTTAGGGTAAATATTAGTTTATTATTCTCATGTTCCGTGATTTTCAACATTTAGTATATCAATTTTTTTTCATCCCAGAGTCATACTTAAAGTGTAAATTTTAGGACAGTCTCATACATTTGTTAGTTAAACTATTAAGTCTCTCGTTAAATGCTGACATGGCACCCATGTAGACAATGATTGGGCGCCACGTGAAAATTAAAAATTAAAAAAAAAATTTGGGAACCAAAAAAAGAAAAAAAAATGGTCGTCTTCTACCTCCGGCCCTTCCTCCTTTATCCTTCCATTCTTTCTTCTGCACCAACCCACCAAACCCTTCCCCTTCCATCTTCGATTCCACCCATCCACCCACCCACCCACCCACCCATTAATTTCAAGGACAATTGCCCAGAGACAGATTCACAAAACTTGAATGCATTTCGACAAACACAAACAGGGCAATCACGAATTGAACGCAAAGGCAACAACTTTACAGTGAGATGGGGAAATTACCAAAACTTTAACTTGGGGAGACAGCGGACGAAGGGGCAGAATTTATCGGATCCGCGGGTAAGGAGGAAGGGGTCGTCGGGAGAGGAAAGGCCGTGGATCTCCGGGTCGACTTGAGGAGAGAGAAACTCGATGAAAAGGTTAAGAATGTAGATCCCCAAGCCATACGACACCATGTAGAAGCCTTGGAACAGGTACACGCGCAAGACGTAGATTAAGGCCACTACCAGGCACGCCAACCATCTGTATAGAACGTGCTGGTAGCGCTGCGAAATGCCTTAACTCCAATTCGAAATGGCGGCAAACGACTATCCCTTGAACGGATCGTCGGCGGCTGCTGTGGCGAGACCCACTCCCGTCGCTCCAGTGTCCATTTCCCAAGCTTGTTTATTAGGGTGGTGGTCTTCTCTCCCTCTCTAAATCTGTCCCTGGGCGATTGTCCTTGGAATTAATAGGTGGGTGGATGGGTGGAATCGAAGATGGATGGGGAAGGGTTTGGTGGGTTGGTGTAGAGGAAAGAATGGAGGGATAAGGGAGGAAGGGCCGGAGGTAGAAGACAACAAATTTTTTTTTTTAAAAATTTTCACGTAGCGTCTAATCATTGTCCATATGGGCGCCATGTTAGCACTTAGCGGGAGATTTAACAGTTTGACTAACAGATGTATGAGAGTCCCAAAATTTACACTTTAGGTATGACTCTGGGACAAAAAAAATTAGATGTACTAAATGTTGAAAACCACGAAACATGAGGGTAGTAAATTGATATTTACCCTTATTTTTAATATTAAAACAAGTCACAATTTCACAATGATTATCCATGTATTAAAAATAAGGATCTAATCTAGCTACCATACTTACAGGTATTTAATACAACCACCATATTGACGATTAGACAGTAATTGTATTAAATACATATACTCATGTGAATTATATATAATTGTCGGATAGTAATTCATTAAATAAAAGGTAAATTACATTTTACCCCCTCATGTTTGGGGTCGATTTCAATTACTTACAACATCTTTAAAACATTTCAATTTCATACATTTACTATCATTTTATTTCAATTTCATACATCCGTTAAAAAATCTGTTAAATAAACCGTTAAGTGATGACGTGGCAAATAAGCGGATCCATTTGTGCTGACGTGGCTAAACATTTAATAAAAAATTTAAAATTTAAAATTTAAAATAATTAATTTAAAAAAAAGGGACGTTTTGAATTAGACGCCTCATTTTGAAATGTCATAGACTAAATATCTATTCTTTTTGAAAATTTGATTAAACATTTTCCCTACAATTTTAGTACTTTAATTTTATTTCATTAGAAGTCTATTCACGTTAGTAGTCCCTTTTTTCCTCCTATTTTTATGCATCTCTTATTATAATAATTTAAGATTTTTTTATTTTTTATTAAAATATTTATTTTAGTAAATTAAATAGAATGTAACAAAATGTGTTGTTAGGTACGTTTGATTATAATGGTACATTTAATTACTTGGTACATTTCAATTTTTGGTCCATTTGGCTTCTTGGTACATTTCAATTTTTTGTACATTTAGCTTTTTGTACATTTGAATTTTTGGTACGTTTGTTTTCAAAACATAAGTTTTATTACTTTTTGTTCTAATAATGAGCAATTACTTTACTTAATTATTATTTTTTTTATAGAAAGAGTCGTTAACAATGTAAAAGTTTAAATTACTTTAATTAATTATTTTTTTCTTTCTAGAAAGAGTTATTAATCAACGAATAATAACCTTTTTGTTAATTCAAAATTATATGATTTATCGTTATTATTTAGCATTATCTACAATAATAAGGATTTATCTCCGATCAACTAAAAGTTGTTCTAGAGACTTATCTACCAAAAAACAAGACTATCTAGAGCATTGTGTATAAATCAAACATATTTTAAAACATTCCAAAAAGATGAATATTTATTTTAATATAGTTTATAATTGGGTACGTTTTAATTCGGGTTGGTACGTTTTTGTTTGACGTTGGTACGTTTTTCGTTTAATGTTGGTACATTTCCATTTGGCGTGGGTGTACATTTAGATTTGAAAAGTTTAAATTTTTAAACTTAAATATAGTTGAAATTATTTAAAATATATAGCAGATATTTAAATGTAAATTGATTTCAATTAATCTGAAGTAGTTCAAGTCTAAGTATCTTAATCAAATGTTTCAAAAGCTTAATCAAAAACTCAAAAAGCATAAATGTTTAATCTACAAAAGTCTAAAATGAAGCATCTAATTCTAATTTTCTCAAAAAAAAAAAAGAAAAAAAAAAAAAAAAAGCCAAAACCCAGTTGGTCATCCCCACCCCTTCTCCCCACCTAAGCACACCCCTAACCCAGAATCCCATTCCTCCACCCTCCTCCACTGTCTTCTCCTCTCCTCCCATCCAAAAAACCCAGTTCATCTTCCCTACCCGAGCACACCCCGTATTTCAATTTCATATGGTCGCCTCAGATTCACCAACAAAAAATTGGCTGATGGGAAAATTCCTCAGGGGAACAACGGCGTAAGAGTACGAGTGTTGATCTTCAAACCACTCTCGAAGCACGTGGTGACGTCGGACTCATCCGAGTTCATGGACAGGGTTCCCGGTCGTCGGGTATCTAGATTGGGCTTGGGTTTAAAAGATGGGGTCGGGGTTAACCAGAGATTTAGATCTGCGTGTTGTTGGAGCTGAAGTAACTTGGTGGAGGATTCGTCGGCTGCGATGGATCGCTTGTATTTCAGCGAGGAGGCCCTGGCGGATCAGGAGCTGGTGAACCGAGAGGAGGAACCAGAGTTGTGACTTAGATCTTGAAGCCTCCACATGTTCATAGAGATAGTGACGCTATCGACATCGTCCTTGGAGGCCTCGTCGGGAGTGGACGCTCCACTGAGAAGCTCGGGAATCGACCGGAGCGTACCGCCGAGAATGATGGTCTCAATAGTAGCCTGGCAGAGATGAAAGACATGAGGCCAGCACGGTCAAACAACTTAGAGGAGGGTGTGCTCGGGTGGGGAGAAAAGGTGGGGAAGACGAATGGGCTTTTTTTAATTAATTTTTTTTAAATTTTAAATTTTTTATTAAGTGTTTAGCTACATGGCAGCCGTGTCAACACAAATGGAGATCCCTTATTTGCCACATCATCACTTAACGGTTTACTTAACAGATTTTCTAATGTATGTATGAAATTGAAATAAAATGATAGTAAATGTATGAAATTGAAATGTTTTAAAGATGTTGTAAGGAATTGAAATCGACCCCAAACCTGATGAAATGTAATTTATCCTTAAATAAATTTAAGTATTGTAGTCAATTCCATAAAATGAAACAAAGTTTGCAAATTAGGTGTTGTGTATAAAAAATAAAAATAAAAACTAATGGATGGCGTTATCTATCTATTCAAAATACCAAAAATGCCCTTAGATAACTAAATTTCTAAGAAATTGCATTTTATTAGTAAAAAGCTATTCTTTAATAAAAAAAATTGGAGGAATAAAAGTTTTTAAACCCAAGTCTAAGGA